GACGCTGTACTGCAATCCCAGATGTATATGGTTCAAATCCACCAGATGCTCTGCTGGAGAAGGAGGAGGCAATCTCTTCCTGTACCAGTCAGATCTGATTTGATGGTACACTTAAAAATAATACAATAGTAGATGTTCACTGAAATGAAAAATAAACAACCTAAATTTAAAAAAAAAACCACAATACACATGAATGAAACACACGTGTATATGAGTGAAAACCAATAAAAATGTGTTTGAGAAAAAGAAAAAAATAATACAATAAAAATGAAAAAAAAATTTAAAAAGTCATTTTTCTATGGAAGAAGATAGCAAGGGGTAGGATAAAAGGATCAATGAACATGGGAATCACAGGACGGAAGTGGAAGGAGTGCAATTACTTTGTGGGTATTGTAATTAATGTTATTTAAAGTATATGATTGAATGGGAAACTTGCTCTGTAAACTTTCACTCAAATAACGTTTTTTTTAAATCCATTGGAACACGATTCTACTTTATAATTCATTAGGCAACTTGACGGCAGCTGTAGGGTTTCTTTTCCCTAACGTAAGACAATAATCCTCCATCATGCCACTGTGGTGATATAATAAAGTAGTGAGTGTGTATCAGTGTACAAATATGTACCAAGTGTTGGTACACTCGGACTAGCAGTCAGGAGATCAGGGAATGCATTGTGCTGGGACGTCTGTATAGTCAGGGACCTCTTTAAATTAATGGGGAGCAATGATGGCTGCTTGAGGACTAAGCTGTGCTTGATTCAGGTCAGGGTTGTGTCAATTACTTGAGATGCAACTGAGAGCCAGCTGGACACTGAATAAGGATGAGAGAAGAATTGATGCCTGTGACCTGTCCTGTTGGAGAAGAGTACTATGGACGGCCAAAAGAACAGAGAGATAAATCTTGAAGAAGGTACAGCCCGAGTACCTCTTGGAGGCAAAGATGATAAAATTTTGTCTTACATACTTTGAGCATGTTGCTAAGAGAGGCTGTTCCTTGGAAGGAGACATCATGCTTGGAAAGGAGGGATGGAAAAGGAGGAGAAGACCCTAAACCAGGTGGACTGACACAGTTCCCATAGCAATGGACTTGAGTGTGTCCGAGACGGAGAGCAGGACATAGAAAAGGACTGTTTTCCACAGAGTTGCTATACAGCACCTAACAACAACAACAAAACATCATAAAGAACTGATTTATATGGAACCATTTCAGGAAGTAGCATATAATTAAGAATCAATAGTATTGAAAGAAGATGTTCAAGCTGCACTGAAGGCATTGGCAAAAAGTAAGACCCCAGACATTGAAGGAATATCTGTTTATGTTTCTACAAGCAAGTACAGCACTGGATGTGATAACTGCTCTGTGCCAAGAAATTTGGAAATGCCGACAACTGACTGGAACTCATCTTTGTCCCCATTCACCATAAAGATGACCTAGGCACACGTGGGAATATCAAAACAATAGCACTGCTATCACATGCAAGTTAAATCTTGCTGAATATTATTTTTAAATGGCAAGAATAGCACACTGACAGGGAGTTCACAGAAATTCAATCTGGATTCAGAAGTGATCATGGAACAAGTGGAAGTCACTGCAAATGTCAGATAAATTTTGCCTAAGCAGAAAATACCAGGAAGATAGTTATTTGTATCTGATTGGCTATGCAAAGACATTTGTGTGGATCATGATAACTTATGGATAACATTGAGAGGAAATTCTTATCAATTAATTTTGTGAATCTACTTGGGCACATACCGAAACCAAATAAAAGTAGCATAACACATTAAAAAAAATAGAATCATAAATCAGTATGCAGTCTGCGGCCTGAACCTTCTGAGGCTGGTTCAGGCTTTGTGGAAATCCTCATTTTCTATGCTGACCCTGACTCTCTTGCTAGCTGGAAGCTAGTCTGTTCTTCAGGAGCAGCTGATAGAGTTCACTCTCTCGCTTTGGTCCTCATCAGATCCTCATATTCCCGGACCACTGTCTACCTGTCCTCATCACCCGGATCAAGGCTTCAACAATTAACCCCCCAGTAACCAGAGGCCACCCTGTGCCCTGGGGCTTTGTTGTTAGATGCTGTCGGCTATGACTGTAGTGACCCTATGACAACAGAACCTCATCCTATCATGTAGATTGACTGAAAGCACCCCACACCTGCGTGTTCTTCACAGGCAGACTCCCCTGCTTGCCAGACATAGCCCCCTCCTGTAGTCCCAGCATGGCACCTTGCCTCCAGGTGCACCCCCCGTGTGACCTCCCCTGCGGGGATGCTTGAGTTCTTCATGCTACTTGTTTCTGGACTTCCTGCATGAGGCTCAGGTCTTCATGCTACACCTGACAGAACCCCTGGGGTCCCCCACAGCTCCTCTAGGTCAGACTGAACCCAACCAGGGGCCAGCTGGAAGGAGTCTTTCTCAGGAGGGGCAAGGTCTCTGCACTGACCTCTCAGTAGTATTTGGAGGTTCAGCCACGGGGGCCTCTCCCCTCAGTGATGTACCTGCTTTGTAGAGTGGTTCTCACGCAGGGGCGGGCCTGACACTTTGCAGGGACTCCTCCCCCACTCCTGGTTTCACAGCAAACAGGAAGCTCATTGAGCAGGTGGCTCAGCTGAGAGGTGCCCAGGTGTCACCTCCCAGGGGACTTCGAACAAAACCCTCCCTGGTTCAGGCTCCGGCTCCCATGTACAAACCCTGACTGCAGCACTTAGCCACTTGAATAATTGGGACTCCTGCCCTGTCTCATTCTGAACATGGAAAAAGGTCAAAAGTTGGAGGGCGCAGGGATTGGTCCCAAACCACGTATATTTCAATATGTTCGTTAATGACTTGGAAAAGTCAGAGAAAAGGTTAAGTGGCTAACTTTGCTGAATGTACAGAAATATTTAAGTTCACCATTTAGGGAAGAAAACACAGGCTGCCTCCTGTACTTTCTGCTCCACCCCGCCCCCACCCCACGCTGCTTCAAGGTGAGCAGTGTTTAGACTCTTGCCTGCATGGGGCACCACCTCATTGCTTTCTGTGCAAACAGCTCACTGTCCAGGGTAGAACTCCCACTAACGGTCATGCAGGTGCCGCCTCTGAGGCTGAGCTGCAGAGTGGAATCCCGGGTGGGGAGAGTATCAAATTCCCTTCCTCCCTCCTCCCTGGCCGTATTGAACAGAGTGGAGAGCACACTGAGGCCCAGGGCAGGCAGTCACTTCCTCAGATAGAAACAAAAGAAAGCAGCCGCAAAACCGTATTACTGCTTTGGAACCAAATCTAGGCAGGTGGTAAAGACATGCTAACTCACCTGTGCAGGTGACACAGGGCTGCCTGCTGACAGGGTCTCCTGCTGGGGCAACTCTGCGTAAGACGCTCTGTAAATCCCTCTGGATTCTCTGGAGAGGGGCTGGGGCTACTCACCTTCATTGGTTAGTACAGCTCAAGGCTAGATTGTGGATAAATCTCAGTAGACTTTTCATTGATTCCTACCTGGAGGTGTAGGCTCTGTTCCTTGCTGACCCCAGGGACCCTGACCTTGAAGCACATTGGCCTTTGACAGCACATGGAGCTGCTTTCCAGAGATGGGACCACCTGCTCTGAGGAGCACCTGCTCCCGCTCATCTGACGGACACGAGGAGCCTCTGCCCACTCTGGGCTCAGTGCTTTCTCCCTCAGCTTTGATGCACCCACTCTCACCGCCGCCCCCCACACAGTAGAGTGAGTCTTGCTTGGTTATCGCTGACATAGGGGTGTTTATGAGGAAACATCTCTCCCCATGGGAATGTAGGGGCGATCCTGGATGTGGGGGGAGGAGAGAGAGAATCTTGGCAAAAACCCCTTAGAGAAAAACCAAATTTGGGGGTACAGAGCCAGGTCCCTGTCTCTTGTCATAGCAGTTAAGTGATTAACGGAAATTTCCCTGTGTCTGTATCATCCACTGCTGTTTCCCAAAATTTAGCTCAGGGCATGGAACAGAAAAGGGGTTCAAAGCACTTACTACATGAATAAAGTTCAACTTGTGGCAGGAGACAGCAAAGGGATGTAGGCTGCTTGGAGAGTCTTTGAGCGAAGGTGCTCTTGTGATTCGGGCTCTCTTCAGAGCCAGGCAGCTTTCCAGGGCAGCAGAGACTGGGGCGGCAGGCACAGGGGGAGGAATGCCACTGGGGAGAAAAGTCGACAGTAAGCACTCCAGAACACGTGCAGGGTGGAGGAAAACTCTCCAGAGAGCCTGCTGCAGCCCCCACAGACCCCAGCTCATCCCCTTCAGGCTGGGCAGGCAGCCACATCGTTGGGGAACATCAGTGATGGTAAGCTAGGCGTGGCCACGAGTGCTCACTCATCCTGGCTGCCATCAAGGGGAGTGGACTGATGAGTTCTGTTCCCACGGGGCAAGAACAAGGCCCTAGCCCTTACCTAGCTGCAACTGTCCTGGTGCTGGTACTGGCCACCCAGAGCCAGTGACAGGCCGTTGGTGACGCACATAGGCTTCTCAGCTGCACTGTTGTCTGAATGGTGAGAGGGGGGGAAAACGCAAACTCAAACCAAACCCTGATGCCAATACTTTTGCATCAGAGAGAGAGAGAAACTTGCTAATTGAAAACTGGTTTGCATGAAGGAAAAAATCTGGAGATGCCAACTATGTAAATTAACATATGCCCCATCCAAAAGGGACCACACCCGCTCAAGAGGAGAGGAAACACAGGAGAGGAAAGGCTGTGTCTTCAGAGCTTCTCAGGAGGGTGGGAGAGCTCGGAGGGGAGAGAGGCCAGGGGGTCAGGGCAAGTGGGCAGTGGGCCAGCCAGGCTCTCCCACAGGTCAGCGTGGGCTTTTCACAGCCGCTTGCCATGGCCTCGATTCATGGCTCCCAGTAGGAACTGCCCCTCCACGGGGGTTCCAAGTCACGAAACAAATATTCAAGGATTGACACAGTGACCTTAACAGTGCACTGGAGCTCGACAAAGATGTCACCATGACCCAGGACAGGGCTGGGCTCCCCTCTGTCATTGATTGGACCCCTAGGGGGCCAGTGGTCTGGGCAGCATCATCAGGGAGGCAGATAATCTGCCTGCCTTTCCTCCCCAGTCTGGATTCAAACTGCTGACCTTGAGCAAAGCTTCACCACCGCCTCACCGTGGTTCCACCAGCTTTTCATACCAGGGGCCTCGCCTCCCCTTTGCCAAACGCCACAAAGAAGCTCAGTGGAGCCGTGCGTCCACTAAGGCGTTTAGCGTGTGGACAGCTGTCTGCTGCTCGGAGCCTGCGAGGCTGGCCTGGGGCGTGGGTCAGATGCTGCTGTTTGACAGAGGTCCAGCTGCAGAGGGACCTGGCACCAAGGCCGCTGGCCGACCGAGCGGCTGGGCCGGCGCCGTCTGGTGGCCACTGCGGGTAGCGCGCGGAGGCCGCCTCCCTCAGAGGGTCCTCACAGGGGCTGTGACCCAGAGACTGGCCGGCGCTTGGTCATGGAGGAGTCTCCTGCTAGGTGACAGGAGATGCCCCCTGTGCAGAGGTGCACAGACGGCCGACGGGTCCCGGTGGGCAAGTGCATGGGGCCATAGGAGCCACGAAGGTCCGCGGGGATCAGGACTAAGGACTAGGTGCCCTGGGCTCAGAGACGCGCCGCGGGGGTGGGGAGTGTCACAAGTGTTTGCTACTGTGGACACCTCCGAGCAGTTGGGATCAGCTTGCACGCAGCGTCCCCATTCCCTGGACGTATCTTCAGAGTGACTGACCTGCTGGCCCCAAGTCGTTCCAGCGTCCCAGCCTCTTCCAGCCCCCAGGCCAGTTCTGCGTCCCCAGCCCTTCACTGCACCCACAGCCCTGCCCTGCACCCTCAGTCCAGCTCTGCATCCCCAGCCCTGCTCTGCACCCCTAGCCCAGCTCTGCCCTGAGCCCCCAGCCCTGCCCTGCCCCCGGAGCCCTTCACTGCACCCCCAACCCAGCTCTGCCCTGCATGCCCCAGCCCAGCCTGGCACCCCCAGCCCAGCCCGGCACCCCCAGCGTTCCCCAGCTCAGCGCCTCCACCTCGCGGGAGCCGGCATCTCCAGGCTGCGCGCTAGGTCCGCAGGGTGCCCGCCTCCGGCTCCCGCTTCCCCGC